AACCTGGATTGAGCTTCCCCCGGAGCTCCGCCCTAAGTATTGGAAACAACAGTTTGTTAAGCCCGTAGTCCTCTTAATTAAAGCCTTATACGGTCATCCTGATGCCGGAGGCCTGTGGGAACAACACCTGAAAGTCATCATCAAGAACCTTGGTGGACAGGAAGTTCTAGAATACCCAGGAAACTTTTTCTTCCCAGATACAAAGTTACTTCTGTCAACTTATGTAGACGATTTAACTCTAGCTGGCCCCGCCGACCAGCATGATGCATTCTGGAGTAAGTTAACTTCTGTGGTAGACATAGAACCCCCAGAGCCCATCTATAGGATTCTTGGACGCAACCATGTTGTTACCCCACTTCCCAAGACCGAAGGTCATGAAAAATGTGCAGCCTTCCAAGCCCAAACTGGCATGGTTTTTGATATGGCAGACTACGCTCAGCAGACCGTAGATTTGTATAAATCAATAACTGGTGTCACCAAACTCAAGCATGCCACCACGCCATTTCCACCTGAGGGATCCATCACCATTGAAGATGATGAAACTAAAGGGGAACTAGCTCCAAATGCATGTAAGATTTTGATGAAAGCCCTTTGGTTAGGTAGACTTGCACGTCCCGATATCATCAAGCCTATCAATGATCTGGCCACAAAGGTCAGTCGTGGTCCAGGGGGGATGATAAGAAGATCCTAAGACTAATCCAGTACATAGCCTCAACCCCACACTATAGGTTAGTAGGTACCATTCAGGATAAGCCTGAAGACCTAGAGCTCAGACTGTTTGTCGATGCCGACTTTGCCGGTGACAGATCGACTGCACGCTCAACCTCTGGTGGCTTTCTGGCTTTGACTGGCCCTAGATCCTTCTTCCCACTTGCATGGATTAGCAAGCGCCAAACATCCACTTCTAGATCGACCACGGAAAGCGAGGTTGTTAGTTTAGCCCATTCGCTTTATCAAGAAGGCTTGCCTGCCTTACAGTTATGGGAGCTGTTGCTTGCACGCTCCGTAACCCTCAAGGTCCACGAAGATAATCAAGCAACAATCCTAGTTGTGAAGAAAGGATATAGTCCCAAGCTTCGCCATATAACTAGAACACACAAAGTTAATTTGTCTTGCCTGTCTGAAGTCTTCAGAGATGACTCTGCCGAGATAGAGTACACCCACACCGATGACCAGGCGGCAGACATATTCACCAAGGCATTGCCTCCACACAAATGGGCAGCAGCACTAATCCTTCTAGGAATACGTACTGACCTTCCCTTAGACCTTAAGTCCAAAGCATAGGTCGCTGTGAACGTCCGTTCACGCGACAGTAGTGCCGAGGATACTGCCAATGCGCAGTACGTGTGGAACAGGCGAGGGGGGAGTTGAAATATACCGACCCCTGAGCCCCACTATGTACAGCATAGGTAGTAGGTCTTATGTAGAGCATTGCCATAGCTATGAGTCCAACTGTAGTTCAATTTAGATACATCCAAAGCATGTACAGTATAAGCACCACTTACCTAGAAGCGTTAGGTAAGTAGAGGGTTGTAGGTAGAGGTAGGCTCCCCTTTTCCCCTAACCCAAACAACTACCTGGGTCAGGAGATTAACTCGTAGCGTTGCCGACCCTATGGCTCAAGTGCCCCGCGCAAAAAGGGGCATTTGGTTTTTGTTTTGTATGCAGGGTTTGGCGGATTGGTACCCCACCTTTTGGGTTTCTGGTTCGACCCCCTGTTTGTCTATAATAGGTTATATATATATATATATTAGATTATGTACACAGATTATATAAATACATATTATATTAGGTATATATTTAATATAATATGTATATATATATAGGATAATATATATATATATGTATTATATTCGGTGTATTTAATATATGTTTATGTATACATAGTATATATAGTTATATATAGATTATACCCAGAAATGTGACTATTTAATGGGGAAACATATGATAACGCACTAGAGTCACTAGGTTTTCCTGCAATTGTCGGATAAAGCAACGTGCTCGATTTGGAGAAATTGTGGCAAAGACCTGCATGGAAATTCCCATGAAACTTGAAATCCCCATGTCGGTTGATTGATTGGGTGATTTTTTTTTCTGGTTCATATCGGATTTTCAGATATTTTTCATCGTTTTTTGATGAATCCATATGAATCCTGATAGATCCAGATTTTTGGCTGGTGAAATCTCCGCAAGACCATCATTTTTCGTTTCGAAAAGCCGGCGACCACGAGGCGGACTCCACCATTGCTGCCAAGCCGCTCCAAGATGCCAGCAATAGGATCTCTTCAAAGGCCCAAATCTGAAGAGATCTGAGGTTTTCCGAACACTTTGGGGTACCTTGGAGTGCTTTCCACTTTTTTGTTCCGAAAATGTAGTTTCAACAACAGCATATGAGGAAACTGGATGATTCTTTGGGAAGAATCATCCATCAATACTAAGGCTAAGACTGTTTCTGTCTACTTTAGTATTGAAACAACCATCGGCTTAAGGTACCACCCTACCTGGGGAAATTTCAATTTGGGCGTGTCTGAATGTTGTGTGAACCCCCCAAAATCTGATGGTTGATCATAGTTTTCCCTATATCAGAATTGCCATATCATTGGCGATCAATACCGCATTTTTGGACAACCCCATGATGCTTCGAACATTTTTGGGTGTCCAGCCAAAAATTGGAACAAACATGTGGGGTCCGGACCTGGGGATTCTTATTGAAGAATTCAGATGGCTGCTGGCGAAGTAACGGAGGTGTGCCATACAAGCGTCCCAACCCTGGATACTTGAGAACTCCGGAACCATGGTCTGGAAATCTTTTCCATGGCACGGAACTGCTTGTACTGCTGTCCATTCGCATCCCAGTGTTTTACTAATCCCAATGTTTTTTCAGAAAGATCACCATTTTTTGAACCCGTTTTTTTTTGAAACATCAATCACGTTCAACCACGTGAATTAAACCCACCCAGGGCGTTCTCATGAAATCTGAAATTCGGCCTTTCAACGGGAACAAACACTTGGGAACCGCTCCAGTTGATGCCCAGCAGCGCAGAGCTGGAGAAGAGGTGTCTGGGGATTTGGCTGGCGAGAGCTTTGAGCCCTTTTCTCCACCTTTTAAGGGAGAAATCCCCTCTGGTTATTTGACAGTTTGCTATAGCAAATGGAGAACATCTTTACCCTCCGGTAATTTAACATAATATATAGCTATTGAAAATGGCCATTTATAGTGGATTTTCCCATTGAACATCGTGATTTTCCATAGTTATGTTAGTTTACCAGAGGGTAGATGATAAAAACGATGATTTACTAATTTACCTTTTAACAATGGTGATTTTCCATAGCTACTTTTGAAAAAATACCAGAGGGTAGCACGAATTATGGGCATGGGATACAGATCGACATATGGAGACAGAATGTCATTTTTGATGCGGCATAGAAACACTTTTTTTGTGGGAGATTTACCTTAAATTTGGGAGTAAAACTGATGATTGGCCATGAAATGGAATAGGCGACCCTGGCGACCCTATGAATATTTCAGGCAAACTCAAATTTTGGGACGCGTCAGAATATGTCAAAAGTTCCAAGATTTCTTTTTTTAACGACAGCATTAATTTTAGTAGGCCCAATGGATATTCACATGAGTTTTATGTGAGTTCATTGGTTGATTCTCCGGACTTGACTCTGATAGGCACGTGGCTTGTGGGGTTATGGATGGTCATCCCTTAAAAACTGTCCTGCACTGCTGTGTAAAAATGATCATTGAGTAGTGGCATACCAGATTCTCATGCAGACAATGTCATAAGTGAAGAATCGTGCTGAACAAGTTTACTACGTGGGGCTCTCGGTGTACTTCAAGTGGACCTCATGATTTTACAGGTCTGACGGCACTGCTGCGCATGGGCCAAAAAAAACATCAAAACAATTCCCCCAAGTCAAACAACTCACATTTGTGAACTATAGTAGTGACACTCCATCATAGATTTAGGGGATTTTCAGGGAGTTATTGGGATTTTCAGGGAATATTCGTTCGGGTGATTTTGGGTCTGAATTCATCATTTGTTTTCGTTTTTTTTCGTAATTTAACGATTCACTAGTGGGCCATAGGACAATTCCTCCCAGCCCGTGAGCAACCACTTTGAACTCTTTGGGTTGTGGCCTCATCATTCTTGTTGGGTACAACGGCCTTGTGTTGGTTGGCGAATTTGCATTCGCTAGTCAAACATTCCTTTTGTTGGTTTAGGCTTATTTTCGATAACATTACTATTTTGAATCTCCATTCCCAAAGGATCCATGTATGGAATATTTACCTACATTGACCCCCAAAGTAATTTAAAATAATCCCAATGTAGGTAAATATTCCATACATGGATCCTTAGGGATTTGTCACATCTTATTTGTCGATGAAAAACCATAGGATTTCAAGCAGTTTTCCCCCAGCCTTCACGCCTTCACCATCATGAGATAGGATGAGATAGGTACATCGATGGGAAGCGGCATGAAATCCATCAAATGCGGCTGCGCAACGAGAGATCCTGCAAGAAGGCAACCGGCGAAATTGCTGGCGCTGGCTGCGGGATGGGATTGCTGAAAAAATAGGAGTTTTTTTAGGCAAAACCAAGGACTTAAACGGCAAGAAGTGTGCTTCAAGATGGTTTAACGAGCAGTAAACAGACATCTCAACAACCTGGAAGTTTGAACAAAAAGGGAAGCAACTTGGTGACCAGGGGTCATCTGTTGCGGCTGCCAAACATGTGGACATTGTAGGCATTCCAAGCCACTCATGGTTGTCAATCAATTTTGGTTTGACCATTGACAACGTTGGATTCAAGGCCATGAAATATACA